ATAACTATTTCATTAATATATAATATTTATTAATGTACTATTAGGCTGAAAATTAGTTTTAAATTACAGGTAGGAGTCCTATACGGAGAAAAGGAACGGCGAGATATTTTTATTGGATCGATTCGAATGGTGACTATTTCAAAGTCAAATGAGTGAAAAAATAACAAATAACGCCTTTTATATATTTTTATTATCCTAAAATTAGCCTTAAATATTTTTAGTTAATATATTTTTAATTTAGTTAAACTATTTTTCCAAAAACTACAACTTACAATAGAATTTTTAAAATGGAGTTTGTATTTTTGCATTTAGACCACTGTTAAACTAGGGGCATCGCAGGTCTAACTTTAGACCATAGACGAATCACGATTTAGAGATAAACTTCATTTTGTAATAAGGAATACATTGGTGAATGGTTTATTACTAGTGCTAAACCAGGTTTATCTTTTTGTAATAAGGCCGAAAGTGTTTGGTTTATAGTACCCTTAGGACCTCAAGGTTTTCACCTACATGAATAAAGATATTTTGAATTGTGAATTTTGATTTAATTGTTTCAATTAATTAAAACCAACTTCAAATTGTATGCAGTCAAGATAGTGATATCTCAATATATATCAAGCATGAATTATGTGTGACAAACAAGCTTTGGAATTGTAGATAAATGATAATGATAGTCAAGTGTCTGCAGTAACTGGCTTATCGTTGCTTATAAGTTAAGTTAAGGGGATTATTAGTAATATGAAGTGATGACCGACTCGATAGAATTCGCAGTTTTTTTCGATACCATTATGATAACCGGTTAACTGATCTGACCGGTTTTCTTTCGAAACTATTGTGATAAATTCCGAATTTGCCACCATGCGGTTAACCCATGGTAGCAAATTCGGAAACTCGAACTGACCTGACCTGACCTGCTCACCTTGTTATTCTCCATTTGTGCCCCGCCAACGTAAACCATTAGTGTACGCAAATGCGCTATTCCGTGTAAGTCAGTTTATTTATCTATGTGTATTTTTTTTTTAGCTACGAATATTTTATTTATATAAACCTTTAGTATTGGCATATATATGTATTTTGTTCTAGTATGTTATCTATTTATATTTCTATAGTGCGTTACATATCTTTTCTTTACTCTAAGTTTCGATCGACCAGGTCGATTGCTTTAAGCGAGAATTTTGTATAAATGTCCTAAGTTTCTTTTTTAATAAATATATTTCTGTGCTCAATAATTCATAGATATATAGATATAAAGCTTTATTTTCCAAATTTACAATCACTGTCCTGCATAATTCCTGTCGGGGTTCGTCTGCACGTGGTTCTCTCTTATTTATTAAGTAGGTACTCGTACATATGTTATTTAGAGTTTCTTACTTACTATGTAGGTACATATCACATTTAGACAGTATTTTAATGCATAAAGAATCAAATTATTATTATTACGAGCCCTCGAATAATTGTTAGATATATGCATAGATCATCAGTTTTATTTTTTAAACAAAATTGTTTTTGTAAATTTTCTTTCTCCTGCTAAACTCCTGTGGGGGTTTGTCTGCAGGTACATAGTGCTCTGTTATTTACCAAGTAGTTATATACGTTATTTAAACATTACTTTAATGTATAAAGAATTAAATTATTATTATGAGTCCTTAATAATTATTTATCAAGCATCATTGCCTTGCCTTTATCCCATTATTTGTGGTCGGCGCAGTATGTCATTCTCTTCCACTGCTCTCTATCGGTCGTCATATCTGAACATACTCTTCTTTTATTCATATCATCTTTCACACAATCCAACTTTTCTTAGGGCGTCCCCTCCCTTTAAATCCATCCACATTCATATTATACACTTTCTATAAGACATGATCCTCGTTCCTCAAAACATGCCCATACCAACTCAATCTATTACCTTAATGTTGTTAATTATTTATCAATCACTAATGTAAATACAATTACAAGTGAACTTCGATTGATAATGCTTCAATTCAATCCGAAGATCGTATTCGTCACATAACAACTAGTTTCGCTCTGTCGATTCACCACAATGTCTGTGTCGCCATTATCGTGAGCGATCTATTCGATTGTATGTAATTGCGTTTCGAGTTCTCGCCTCGTTATTGCGATGTCGTAACTCGTTTCCTATCATGTGCGACTATCATTTTGGGATTTGCGATTGTCTCTGGTTTTAATCTTTACCAGTTATTAATGGGAAATTCTGTGCATAATAAATGTTAGATATATAGACAGATAAAAAAACTTTAGTTTTCCAAATTTACAATTACTGTCCTGCAAATCTTTTGTCGGGGTTAGTCTGCAGGCACGTGGTTCTCTCTTATTTACTAAGTAGTTATCCTCCATTGGTGTCCTGTATCCTGTCCCGGTCTGTCTCCATTGTGTTTATCCTCCACTATAAAAAATGTATCAATTCGGTAGAACCAATGACACTTTGAGAGACCCAGCTTATGTAAGATGATCATACACGCCAGTCTTTGTGAAAAGGTATAGACCAAGCACTACATACATATAGCCGGATCGTCGTATATTCCCATGGAAGAGCCGGGGATCCATTCTACCTTGCTGCGTTTTGCTCTTCTGGCTTCCACTTCGGATCTGCTGTCCACTTCAGGTTTCCCAACTTGATGAATGATGATAATTCATAGGATTCTTTGGCCTAAATTTGGATTTTATAACACTTAGCTACGTTGCAACCGCCGTTCTCATCGAATCGAGAGACCATGTTATTCAGACACTATTTTAATGTATAATGCATTATTTTATTATTATGAGTCCATAGTATAAATACAATTAAATTTCGATTGATAATTCCTTAATTCGGTAATTCGGTCGTTTCAATCAGATCATCTCTGGTTTTAATCTTTACCAATTTATTAATGGGAAATTTCATTCCACATCAACCAAAAACTGTAGACTGATTTATTTATTTATTTATTTATTCTTTTGCACACAAAAATGTATACATGGCGGACTTAATGCCTGATGGCATTCTCTATCAGTCAACAGTCGCGTTGATCAGAGATAATAAGGCGGTGCACTTTAATAATTAATTAAAAGAAAAAAAGAAAAACAAAAATTATAACAAATAGATACAGAAAAATAATACATGTATATACAGATGCAAATATATAAAAATAGTAATATACCAATATAAAATATATAAGTTTATGGATTACATATAAAAAAAAAATATAAATCTAAACTACAAATAATGAATATTCATATAATCTCATGGAGTTTATATAATATCATATCTTAATAGAAGTTTGGTTGACTATTAAAGATATTTGGAATAATGTTCACGCAAAGACCTCTTCAAGGTAAGTTTGGTTTGACATCTTCTAAGGCCAACAGGAAGTGCATTCCAAAGGTTAATGGCAGAAATAGTGAAAGATTGAGATGAGAAATTAGAGCGATGAGAAGGAGTATAAAGCAGGTGATTAGATGAGTATTATGTAACATGTAATCACAATCTAACCTAGTTCTATGAATAAACTAGTTTAGAGCGTGGTTCGGTGTATATATTAATAGGAATAATACCCCAGGATACTTTCCACAACGCTACCTAGTCTCATCCAAAGCAGAGCTTGTGTTATAGGTAATATACAACTGATATAAATACTTACTTACTTTTTTTCTAAATACATATACAATGTACATAGACAACTTCTATAGAAAATAAACATAGTATTGGTACACCAATACGCTGACTATGATTGTTTATATCGGTCTGAGAATTTTTTACATATATTATGTACGTATTTATAAAAAAAACTGTATCTATGTACTTGTATCAGTTGTGTAGTACCCATAAGACAAGCTCTGTTCAGCTTGGGACTAGATGGCGCTGCGTGAATTATTCTGATATATTATAATCATATGATTATATTGTAGCAGTAATACGAAAAGTAAATTTCAAAATTCACCATGTAATTAAAAAAAAAACAAGTTATATTGAATTATATGATTAAAACCGAATAACGTTCGGCTGCCACACTCGTCTAATATTAAAATTGTCCAAAGAGTTTTCATTGTACATACCTAATTGGTAAAATTGTAAACTTTTTTAATTTTATGAGTTTTAATGGGATTTTTTACGAGACCTATACAATGTTATTTGATTGTATAATGTATTAATATACATACATCGCACGCATAACAAAAACGACACAACTCAAAGATTATAAATTTTCGAAAATGGATTTTAAAATAAATTCTATTAAAGTAGATTTTACAAAATACCTGGAAACCAATCCATTATCATTTATTTAAAAAGATGTACCCATGACGACGTAGCACAAAGTTTAGTTTTGTGATATATAACGGTCTCGGTGGTCTAGCAGTTTACTACACCGATTTTCTTCCGATGGTCGTGAGTTCGATTCCTCGCATGGTGCAAACATTTGTATTCATGAGTATAATTGTTTGTATCGGTCTGGGTACTTTATATATATATTATGTATGCATTAAAAAAAATGAATCAAAAATATTATATCAGTTGTCCCATAACATAACCGTTAACACAAGCTATGCTTACGTTGGAACTAGATGGTGATGTTAATTGTACATACATTACAATACGTTTTCGCCCAGGAAGAACGTCTTCCACACTCTAAACACCCCAAAGTAAGCAAAGTAACACCAAACTTACTGACCTTTGCTCAGCAACGTCCCGATATTTAGACAGTTTAGTGGCCAGTGGCCACGCACTCCAGAGTGTATTGTAATAAAAACAAATAAATCAATAATGTTCTTGTTTTAAAATAGTTAAAATTACGGAGCGTTCCTCTTCCAGTTCTTATTTTCAATTTACTTTTTCTTCTATATTTAAAATTTAAGTGGCCACGTTTCCTTATTTGTGGCCAGTATTAATAAGCGCCAGCTCGAGTAAACAAGCCGGTGATACAACCTGCTTAGACTAAGGAAGTTCGAAATACGAAACAAATATAATGATATAATAAATATTTTTAATTCTCTTTTTGTTTCAGACAAAGCGCCTTCTGAAGCAACATTCCGTGGGGCCGAGTTTCTCTCTTACGACCTCACTCAGACGGGCGGGGAACCTATAGTCAGTACTCAGGATGCAATATCGCTATACTTCAAGACTCGTCAGCCTAATGGACTGCTCTTTTATACCGGTACGCTTGGTATCTTTGTCTGGAAAGTTTTATCTTTTGTCTCCATTTCAATAGCACTGTAATACTTGTAGGTACGTAAGGAAAATATTACTGAACAGGTAATATTCTGTTTCAAATATGCAAGTACATTTTGCAATTATAGTTCACCTTTAAAGGATATTTTAAGTAATATTAATGGTCATGTAATCTGTAGATGTTGTTACTTGATCGAAAATATTGTTTTATATTAAAAACTAGATGTGCCCGCGGATTCATTCGCGTTAAATTTCATTAAAAAGTATAGTCTATATGTTATTCTGATGCATAAGCTATATTACTGTAAAGTCTTATCAAAATCTGTAAAGTAGTTTTTGCGTGAAAAAAAGTATCAAACCTGCATACTCACGAACTTTCGCGTTTATAATATTATATATTAAGATTAAGATTAACAGTGCAGTAGGCTAGCAGATTTTTGTAGAGAATATTAGTTGCTAAACAGCTTGCTTCGTAAATAAATTAGTACAATATTATAGTTAAAGTAAGTTCATTTAGATAAAATAATGACTGGAATTGAATAATTTTCAATATTCTTCTGTAGATAAAATAATACACAAGAATAAACAATATTAAATAACATATTAATAGGTCACGAAGCCGACTACCTGAACCTCGCGGTCCGGGATGGTGGCGTCTCTCTCACCATGGGACTTGGGAATGGGAAGCAAGAGATGCATATCAAGCCATCAAAGATAAGATTCGACGACCATCAATGGCACAAGCTGACAGTGCATAGGAGAGTGCAAGAGGTAAGATTTGTTATACCCACTCGTATTTTAAATGTTTATCTCTATATATAATAATTATGATAATAATAATAAATTTCTTTCTTCATCACATAACTCATCCATGCTTGGCTAAGGCCCGCGTGTTTGAATATATTACCCCCGTAAAAAGGGAGATATAATATATTATTATTATTATATATATATATATATATATAATAATAATCTCAGGACAATTCACACAGCGCCATCTAGACTCAAGTTAAGCTAGCTAAAGCTTGTGTTATGGCTACTAGACAACTGATAAAAATATATAGATTTTTTTTAAATACATACATATTATACATAGAAAACACCCAGACCAATACAAACAATCATACTCATGAATACAAATGTTTGTGCCGTGCGAGGAATCGAACCCGTGACCATCGGACGTAAAGCAGTGTGCTAGACCGCTAGACCACCGAGGTCGTCAAATATATATAATATTATATGGACATAATGTTTTTTAAATCAAATCAAATTAAATTCATATAAGTCTATTGCAGACTCTTATGATAAGTCAGATCTACTCTACTGACTGAACTGTCATAGTTATTAACATCTGAAAATTCTTTGTAGACTCGGGAGCGTTACAGGTTCGTCTAGTGTGGAGTCTAATGTGTAAATAAATAAAAATAAATATGTCAGTTATATAATTATTTTATGTTTAAACTATTTAACTGGAATTGTAAAAAAGGGGACGAGCAAGTGGGGACCACCTGATGGTAAATGGCAACCACCCACAAACAGCACCAGGATTCCTTTGTTATCCTATCATATTAGTCATTTTTATCATGCAAAATAAGATACAGGTACAATCGCTTCAGAATATATCAGGTTATGGACCCTATCAAATAATTTATTTATAATTGTAACTTTTCGAGTAATTTGTGTTTTATTATATTTTATTATGATAAAAATGGTGAAAAACTAAAACCAAACATCAGCAAACAATGGCGATGTTTAATTTACAACGCCATCTAGTCTCAAACTAAGCAAAGCTCGTGCGATGCTAAACAATTAAAAGAAATATACGATTATTTTTTTTTGTAAATATATAGTAATCTATTGTAAATATATGATAGATATATAAATATATTATATATCTATTACATTATTTATAACGAGTGTACTCATGTATACAAATGTTTATTTGCGAGAAATTTAACCTGCAACCATCAGAAACAAGCCGTTGTTTTAACCCCTAAGCCACCGAGGTGCGTAAATTAATTATTACTCGTTACATTAAAGATTTCCAATTAAAAACTTTTTTAATAAACATTCGTCTGAAGTTAATAATAAAAGCTGGGGTGAATTATGAATATCCAATTTCAATCTCATCGAACTACTATTTGATCGTATAACAAAGTTGCTTTCAGTATTCATAGATATGGATACATTTTGCAATTAAACTGACTGAACAAACATATACCATCATGTTTGATTGTTATTACAATGTAATAGAGTTTGAGTGTACATTGATTTCTGATACAGATAACTCAACTTTGTATCTGTAATATTGACTAATCAATAGAGTGTTTAGGGTTCTAATATATAGTTATATATAATATAATATATATTAAGGCCGCCTTATTGTAACGATACATGTGTCCTTTGTTATATTGTTTGTGCTTCTTCTTTACTGTATGTTGCAAAGAAAGTATGTTCTATATATCTATCTATCTATAGTTATAAATATAACTAAATATATATAACTCGAAGGTGACTGACTGACATAGTGATCTATCAACGCACAGCCCAAACCACTGGACGGATCGGGCTGAAATTTGGCATGCAGGTAGATGTTATGACGTAGGCATCTGCTAAGAAAGTATTTTGATTAATTCTACCCCCAAGGGGATAAAATAGGGGATGAAAGTTTGTATGAAACTTTGTCAATTATAAAACCGATCGGGCTGAGACTTTGCATACATAAAGTTACTATGACGCGGATACCTGCGAAAGGATTTTGATAAATTCCACCCCTAAGGGGATGAATTAACGCGAGCGAAACCGCGGGCAAAAACTAGTATAGTTATAAAAGAACATTTAATATTTTGAAAGCGAATCTGTTTTTTTTATAATATTTTTATTCAATTTAGGTTAAATTGAATAAAAATATTATAAAAAAAAATACTAACATAATTATCTAATTCAGCCTACTAATGACCTATATTAGAAATACCTTAGAAACTAACGTACATATGAATGATACTAAAATTAATAGGATAAATAAATATAAATTGTCTGTGTGATCACGGCACTGATTACGGCAATCTTCCGGTAGCGCAGATATACACCCTTCGGGCATGAAGGTGGTCAGGATGTTGGTGGGAACTCGGACTACGAACGCCTTGAAGCTCGCGTTATGTCTCGATTTCAGCTGCTCTACCCTAATTGTCAGGTGACTTTTCTTATGTTGCGGTAACGCCGATATACCACACCCTTCGGGCATGAAGGTGGTCAGGATGTTGGTGGGAACTCGGACTACGAACGCCTTGATAGAGGATATTATTTAGAGGATAGGGTCCAAACTGTAGATATTGACGGTATAAAATCTAAGGGAGCTAATATTGGGATGGGCGTTCCACAAGGGTCAATCTTAGGCCCCTTTCTCTTTTTAATTTACATAAATGACCTTCCCTTTATGGTAGAGAAAATTGCAGATATAGTGCTGTTTGCGGATGATACTTCGTTAGTGTTTAAAATTGGACGTCAAACTAATCAATTAGACGATGTAAATTGTGCTATGTCTGCTATATTAAATTGGTTTACATGTAATAACCTATTATTAAATTCCAGCAAAACAAAGTGTATAAAATTTACACTTCCTAATGTAAGACCAATAAATACACAGTTATTGCTTAATGATGAAATAGTAAATTTTGTTAATGATACAGTTTTTTTAGGTATAACAGTGGACTCGAAATTACAATGGGGGCCCCATATTTCAAAATTGGCCAATAGACTCAGTTCAGCAGCATATGCAATTAGAAGAATTAGGCAATTAACAGACGTGGCGACGGCTAAACTTGTATACTTTAGTTATTTCCATAGCATTATGTCATATGGTATACTACTGTGGGGTAAAGCAGCCGATATAAATACTATATTTATTTTACAAAAGAGAGCCATACGTTCTATTTATGGTATGGGTTCAAGAGAGTCATTACGTCAGTGTTTTAAAGATTCAAATATCCTCACCGTTACTTCACAATACATTTATGAGAATATCATGTATACACGGAAGAATTTAGAGAGTTTTAGAAAACTTAAAGACTGTACAAATAGAAACTTACGCAATAAAAATAAGCTAATTTTACCTAAATGCCGCCTGCACAAAGTCAGTAATTCATTCTATGGTAATTGCGTAAGATTTTATAATAAACTGCCAGAATCTGCACTAAATCTGACAGAGAGGCAATTCAAATCTTATATTAAACAATTTTTGTGTAAGAAAGCCTATTACAGGATAGACGAATTCATAGACGACAACATATCAAGTAAATAACTAGTTATTAGCATACAACGTTATAATTTAATTTTCTCATTGCTTTCTTGATTTAATTGATTGATTTTAGAAATATGAAAGCGTAGCGGTTTTTGTATTGATTGCCGCATGCATTCTTATGTAAAATGTGAATACTATAACTATCAGATAGCAATTGTAAGTAGCTTTGACGTAGTCTAGTGTTTTGAGTAGTCATGCTCACTAAAATGTCCAGACTTGTGGCGGCGTGGTGGGCCGGGTCATTGGGCTCCCTAAAATATGGTCGAGCGCAGTGATGGCTGGCTCATCCGTCATACTCGTGAACGGGTGCTGCTTGTAGGGACTGGTCTGCTCTAATCACTATGACTGATTTCCTCTTATTAATTGTCTAACCAGTTGGTTATATATTCAATATTATTTCTATTTGAGTATTTAATAGAATTAGTGCTAATTGGTGGTTTGTATTCACACACTTAAACTTAAAAATGTAAAGTAATAATAAAATTATTTAAAAGAGCAACACGCAAGTTTCTTGCTCGTTCTTCTTGTGATGAGACAGCTTTCCGAACGAGCGGTAGATTAAAAAAAAAATGTAATGACTATTCAAAAGTGCTTCAATGTAAGTTTATTTGAATAAATGATTTTCTATTCTATTCTATTCTATTCTTGAAGCTCGCGTTATGTCTCGATTTCAGCTGCTTCACCCTTAATATCAGGTTACTTTTGGTCAGAATGTAGTCGGCGCCTTAGTGGCGTAATGTATAATAATAATATCGAATAATAGTGAAAAGATGTTAATTCAAATTACAAAAAGACACTTTAAGTTAATTTATTTGTATAGATAATGTAATTGGGACCGTTATTCCACGCTCATGGCTACCTTATAATAAAAAGACCTCGGTTTGGGACTTCGATTCGCACTTGACCAGTTTTATTATAACACGATTGTTTGAATAATAATTTATTCAATCAATAATGACTAATATTTACTACCTACCCCTATAGAATAGTCAGTCTAATGTTTCGAGTAGACACAATCGATTATATTTGAATCGAAACATTATAAGTAAGGAGCCATTTTTATCTTAAACTAAAATAATAGTAGCCTAAGTTACTCCTTCTTACATCACCTAACTGCCAAAAAAAGTCCCGTCAAAATGGGTGCAGTCATTTCAGAAATAAGCGGGAACAAACCGATAGATAGACAGACAGAAATAATTGTAAAAAATGGTATTTTGGTGTATATACCGTATTTATATTTATATGCATGTAGTAAAACCGGTTATTTCAATATTACAAACGGACACTCCAATTTTATTTGTATGTATAAACTAGCTGACTTCGCAACCTCTTCTATATCACATTTACTTAACATTTATCATTCATACGTTGCTTATCTTATATATATATATCGTAATTCAGATGTATAAGCTATATTACTTTAAAGTTTCATCAAAATCCGTTCAGTAGTTTTTGCGTGACAAAGGAACAA